CATTATATCTTAGAGCATTTAATATGACCTCCCTATATTTTTAAGCCAAAATTCCTGATACATACAACTTAAAATTTTTTCACTATTATAGCATTTAATCTTCTACAGTTTTTTAAATAATATAATAGTTTATTTTTATATCATTTTGTGCCTTTTCCCATCTCAGTTGTAATCCCCATGGGCTTCCCATCACCAATTCACCCATGTGCCATCACCATAATCTAGTGCACTCCACCCCACTCCACCCCCAATTTTTGATCCCATTCCCCATTCCACCCCCATAAAATGTCTCTGGTATATGGTTGTTCATTATTATTATTATTTTCTCCCCTGGTCCTTTATACTCCTGCTATGAGTGAAACCATCTGGTATTTTTCCTTTCCTAGGAAAGGGTTTTATTTTGTTTTTAATGATTTATTTTATTTATTTATACACACAAGAACTGGGGTGAAGGCCAGAGGTGCAGGGGTAAGAGGGTTCACCAGTGTGGGGAACAGAACAGGCAGATCTACTGAAATACACTGCTGAGGGGAGCAGTGGGTGAGACAGGAGAGGTCTGTTGCACCATGTGAGACACCTCCCTGGCTGAGGATAGAACTCAGGCCACAGTGGCTGGAGATAGCTTGATAGAGCTGAAACTTTAACCCCTGTGCCACCTGGGAGGCCCAGGAAAGGGGTTTTGAAGCAAGTTCTAGAAAGCTGGAGGAAAAGAGCAAAATGAAAATATACACCAAGGTAACAACTGCCATTGTCAGTCTCCTCATGTGTCTCTCACCCATCTATCTTTTCCATGTCCCCCAAGTAACTGGGACAAATCCAAATCCAAGAAGGACACAAGCAATTCTCTGTCTGTCTCTCCTGAACCCACCTGCTTTAGATACAAGCGCCTTACCTGGCCACTCAGCTCTGCCCCTGTTAAAATAGATTCCCTAATTTGTTATATAACATAATAAATATTTAATAATTGGATAATTATTTATAATCTTCAAAAATATCAAGGAAACAAAGAGGAACCTCATCACACTGAGGGAGACCATAGAGATGTGGCCACGTGATCCATTGGCTTCAGCAAACATTATTGGGTCAAGTGAGACAACTTGGTATTCAAATGGAATCTTGAGGACACAACTTATAAGCAGGACGGGCTTGGTTCCTTGTTTGAAGGAACTGGGGTGATGTGGACTGAGCCTGACAATTTATTTGGAAAGCTTTCCAAAACTTCTTTGTGCTCCAGTGACAATGCTTCTGTAAATGTGTGCTTGTTTGAAAATGAAAACTATTTTTAAAATTAACCATTAGCCTTGGTTGAGTAATCACTATGTGTCAGCACTGTGCTCAGTGCAGATTTAGTTCCCCAGGAAACTTTCTGGTTTGCATCTCTGCCCCAATGGAGTTCCTCTCCTCTGCACTGATAACACCTTCCCCCTGGACGACCATGTGGTAGCAGCTTGTGCTGTCAGTAACAGCCTCCTTCCTCCCTCACTAGAGAGACTCAACTCTTTGCAGTCAAAAACTGTATCTCACTATCCGGTATAGACACAGCTTCTGGTAAATGGTCAGCACCAACCCGTGCTTGCTGAAGGCAGCAGCGGCCTTCACCCCCATCCCTCCCGCCCCATGACTAGTCAGAGATGAGTCGCCAGACTCAGGATGCATGTCTGATTCATGATTTCTTTTCTAGGTGGCCCTGGATCTGGCAAAGGCACACAGTGTGAAAAACTGGTGGAAAAATATGGCTTTACCCACCTCTCAACTGGTGAGCTCCTGCGTAATGAGCTGGCAACAGAATCTGAAAGGAGCAAATTGATCAGAGACATTATGGAACGTGGAGACCTGGTGCCCTCAGTAAGCATCAGCTGCCTTCCCAGGATGGGAAGATAGTCTGAAGTGTTGCAGTTCACCTAAGCTTCTAGAATAAACGAAACACAAAAGGACAATAGTTGTACTGTATCTACATGGCCCATCATTGACCAAAATAGTTTGGTGACATAGGACGTTCCCTTCCCCAGGACTTCCCGATGACTCCCTATCAAACTCACAATGAAATCTAGAGTCCTTGCCATGATTCTGGCCTCCAGCTCCTTCTCCAGTGAAACTTCCCATCACTGTCACCTTGCTTATTCGCACCCAGTCCCAGGTCTCTTCATTGCTCCTCACACAGGCCAGGCTCGTTCCTGCCTCAGAGTCTTTGCACTTGCCATTTCTACAGCCTGACTGCTCACTCTGCCTCCAGACACTCATGTAGTTTGCGCCCTTACTGCATCTAGAAGTCTACTTAAGTATCAGTTGTCCAGAGGCCCTCCCCAGCCATCGTATCTGAGAGGCATTCTGCTTCCCTTTGCCCTTCTTTAGTTTTGTTCCTACCCATTCTCACCAGATCTTTGTATATATCTATTTTTTCACCTATTGTCCATCTTCCTCACTAGTATACAAACTTATGAAGAGTTAATCACAATAATCTAGGGATAGATTCTGATCATGCTTGATGGCTACATTCCCTGAGCAAAAAGCTGGGGAATGTCAGTGAGCCAGAGAACACATAACGAACCCCATTTTGGCAGTCGGTTGTGTTTTTCCTACACCCATCCCCAAGTTTTCATGTATCTGCTTCCCTTATTTTTCATAAGCATAGGTTAAATAAAAATCTTTAACTGAGAAAGTGGTACAGCTACAAAATTCTACTTTACATCTACTGAAAATCTTCTCAAGTCAGTGGATATCAATTTTATATACTATTTACTAAAAGAATCAACAGTGAAATACATTTTGTACCATACGTTGCCTAGTTTTAAACTGCCATTATGCCTAATTCAAGGAGTGCTATTATATGAGAGATGGCTGCCATATTTCATCTACTCTAAGATGCTATTAATGTAAGTCTCCTCATTAAGATATAAGTAGAAAAAATACATCTAAGAAAAAAGCACAAGCAATTAAACTGTGACCAAGCACTGATTATAAGATCCCCACCACTTCATCAACATTAAAGTGTGCGTGTTGGGGGAGGAGGGTTGGTGAGACTCTGAATTGTTGAAATAAGGCTATGTTCTATATGTTACTCACCTTCTCTGACCTTTTCTCCCTGTCTCAAAGGGATGACTTAGGAGAGCTGTGGTAATTGTAATGTTGTTCATGGAAGAGCTCAGGCTCTAACCCTTCTTCCTCTGCTCCAGGGTTTCATTCTGGAGCTCCTGAAGGAGGCCATGGTGGCCAGCCTCCACGACACCAAAGGCTTCTTGATTGACGGTTATCCTCGGGAAGTGAAGCAAGGGGAGGAGTTCGGACATAGGGTGAGCTGCTGTTGTGACAACTATCGCAAAAGAAAATTGAGACCAACATTGAGGTCGAGGTTAAATTCAAAATTTATTTCTTCCTCAATTATGCTAATTAAGACTTTCAGTTAGTTACAGGTGACAAGAAGAACTCAATACAAACTAACAAAAAAAAAAAAAAAAAGATGGTGGTGGTGATGATAGTGGTAGAATTTATGGTTCAGGTAACTAAAAGTTCCAAGAGTCATTTACACTTGGTTGAATTCATGTGTTCAAATATGTTCATTCATCATCTCAGTTTCGCCATCTCTTAGACTTTCCTTAACGCTGACTTCATTTTCTCCCTGTTCCAGGCTTATATTCTGCCATCTGAGTAATCTCTCAAAAAAATGTTTCTGTTTTCTAGTGGGCCCAACAAAAGACCAAGGGTGGTTTTATTATCCTGGATTAGGTCATGATTCTTATCACTGAACTAGTCATGTGGCCAGACAGAAGGTGATGGAATAACATGCAGGAAGACCCTGGTCCAGCCTGGAGCAGCAGGCCAAATGTGGGAGGGGAGTAAAGGTACCCCAGCTGAACCACATAGATGGAGAAAGGGAAGGAAAATTACCCCCAGGAAAATAGGGATGCCTTTAGAAGAAGGTAGGGGAGTGCATTCTGAGCAGTCCAAATCAAATACATGGACCACTCTCACTCCCAACATCCCAACCTCCCTAAGTCCTCCCTTTTCCTGGGTGTGTCAGGCCTCTCACAGTGGAACAGCAGGAAGTAAAAGCCCTTGTAGCTCCCACTCATTGAACCTGCACTGGGCCAGCTCCTGCGCTACACATCTCACACCCCTGCCTCAAATTTAACAACATCCAAACCAGGGTGAGACAATTGTCCTCATTTGCTAAAAAGAAGACTCCAGAGTACATGCGTGTAGGTATTTGTGTAGACACATATTTAGGCTAGTTTTAAAATATTTTCATTTTGCTATATTTTTTATAAGATTTATTTATTTATACGAACAGAACTAGAGTGCAGGCCAGAGATGCCAGAGGTGAGAGGATTCACCAGAGACAGAGTGGGACCAGAACAGGCAGACTGACTGAAATACACTCCTGAAGGAAGCACCGTGCAGGCCAGGAAGCACCGTCCCACCACACCATGTGGGTCGCGTTCCAGGGCTGGGGACCGAACTTGTGTTGCAGTGGCTGCGATAGCTTCATAGTGCTGTGTTTTAACCTGCTGTGCCACCATGGAGGGCCCATTTTGCTATATTTTTTTTAAAAAGCCTTTTAGGTAGGTAGAGGCAGTATTTTCCTCACACAAAAAGTGATGAATTAGGCCTAGAGAGGTAACACAACGATCTGCCCATGGTCACACAGCTGGTAAGTGACAGCAGATTGGTGATAGCTGATTGTGGGAATAAGATTTGGAGGGGTCCCCACCATCCAGCTCCAACCCTACAATGTTGATTAAGGTAATTATTTCTTGTCTGTCTACTGGGGTCTGGTTCCACCTCCTTCTGAATCTTTGTTTCATTTAAATCCCTAAATAAATGGTCTCTTAATATCTAAAGGGCAATTGTTTACCTTCCTCTACATAGCCTTCTTGCAACTAGAGCAGAAAAATTTTCCCCTACTGTGTTAGTAAGTATTCCTGAATATTAAGTCTTCTTTAGACTGTTTTACATTTTTGTCTATTCTAGTCTTCTAACCAGTGTTCCAGAAGCGGATGAGGTTCTTGGGGGAACCATGTTAGTAACTGAGGAGCAGGGGTATTTTCCTGTTGCCACCTCAGAATTTGGACTTATGCAAGGCTGGGAAGTTGAGTGGGAAGGCAGAAAAGAGGAAGGTGTGGCTGAGTCTTAGCAGAGCTCCCTGCCTAATGGGGACTGACTTGTCATTAAAATGCAGCAAGAGATGTGCTCAGCTGCTACGGGGTCATCAGTGTTTATTGAGGTTCAGGCTTCAAGGTGGCAGCACCTCAGCCAATGATTTCACACTTACTTGCCTGTGATTTTGTCTGAAAAGCCTGAGAGGGCTAAAAGTGACCCAGTAATCCATCATGCTCTTGCCTTTATGTGCAGGGGAGTGAGGGGGGAGGGGGAATGTTTTTAAATTTTTGTTTTTTTTTTTTAATTGCTCTCAGAAGCAGTAGAATATACTTACAACACCCCCAAATGACCGAATGTAATACATAAGATGTATGGTACGTACGTACAACTCTTTATCAACTACTTCCAAACAACAACAAAATCAGACTTGGGTCTTTTTAAAAATGGATCTGAAGGTGGGGCTCTCCCTGGTGGCACAACGGGTTAAAGCACCACATTATGAAGTTCTTCGAAGCCACTGCAGCATGAGTTCCAACCCCGGCTAGGGAGCTGACCCACATGGCCTGGCAGACCTCTTCTGAACCACCCGCTGCTCCCCTCAGCAGTGTACTTTGTCAAGTTGCCGCTTCTGCTCCCCACTCTGTCTTTAGTGAACCCTCCCACCTACCACACCTCTTGCCTGTACCCCAGTTCTATAAGTATAAATAAATAAATCTTCAAAAAAAAATGAATTTGAAGGCAAAGCCCTCAATTTAGGCCAAAGGGTTCCAAATTGCTATGAGTAGTAATGACTCACCTGGAGTCTCCCAAGGTAACCTCTTCAAAGCACATCTCATGCTCTGTCTCAGAAAGGCTGGCTTTTCACCTCTGCCATATGTTAGCATGACCCTGGCCAACTCACTTTGCTTCCGATCCCTCCTCTATAAGATGGAGATGATAATACCCACCAAACCTCTGGTAGAGGATTTTGTGACCATCAAATGATATATATTACTATGTTTTCTGAGCTATAAAAGGCTAGAAGATAATATCTAGATGGTTATTCACTTTGGGGTTTGTTTAATAAAGGAAAAGACCAGATAGAAGTTTAGTAACTAATATGTATCTCCTCTGTACATGGGAGACCCAGCATGATCAAGTAACTCACTCATGTGGCTCTAGACGTCAACTTGCTGTTGCTGTTGTTTCATACTAGTTTATTTATGAAGTTTCCATTTTCACTCATCAACAGGTTTTCTTGTATTTCTATTCACTCAGTTCATTGAGCTCTGGAGGATGACTCAGGTCATCTTGGTGAGCCAACCATTTTCATAACAAGTCCAGATTTTCTGCAGGAGTTTTTTTTTTTTTTTTCCTGTGACTTCTCCTGATAGAAGAGAGGAGAGATCACTAACAGCTTTCACACTTTGCATAGTACCAACTCATCATATGTGTTCAAATTTGTCCCAACTTCTGGCAGACTTTAAGTAAACATTTCCCAAAGCTTCCTGTGCAAAATTGCTGTTTCCCACTCTTTTAATACTATTTTATGTTAGAATCTATTCACATTTTTCTGTGAATTTATGCACTGAAAGCAGTGTGATGCCCATGTGCACCATGCAGTTGGCACCTGCCCACAGCCCCCAGAATCACAGGCACCTGCCCACAGTCCCCCAGCCACTGGGGGTGTTAAGGTGGCACACAGACTGTAGCTGGCAGCTCAGCACAAGTTCTAGATGCCATCTTCAGTAAGTTACCTACGATTCGGGGAAGTCAGCGAGGGTGCTTACTGGGAAGAGATAAGGGGGTAGGTTTTTCTGGAATAGACCCTTGCAGAGGCTCTGGCTTTATTTGTTTGTTTAATCCCTACTGGTCTATCCCCTGATCTTTGGGTATGTAAGAACTGAAATCATTCACATGATCTTCTCCAAAGTAAAGCAAAACTTCTACGTTGGGCCACATTCAGAAGGGATTTTTTTAGATGTGCTACAGAGAGCTTAGGAATGAGAAAGTCATCAACATAGTGACCGAAATTCAAGCAATGCTAAATTCCATAATGTCATTTCAAAAACCATGAGTCCTGTCACTGGATTGAACCAAAAAGCACTCAAGTAGATGTCTGCAAAGACTATCTTTTGCATACCACTGGGAGGAGTTTACAAAGCCTGAATGCAACATTGATTTGTCCCTGTGAGCAATAGCATTAGAAGATTCTATGGTCAGTTAGGCTTCTGTGCAAAAGAACATATCCACCATCCAACACAAATACCTGCTTCCAACCCAACCAGAAAATCAAAGATGCTACAACACAGAAGCCACTGTTGATTCATTATGCCCTGCAGGAGCCCCATCATTTGATCAGTTCCTTCCAAATTACAGTCAAGTAATTAATTTGAAATTTTGCAAAGATAAATATGGACACACTATTTTCCCCCGAGAGTGACAGCACTCGTCCTGGTTGAGAGCACAGCAAATGTCTTGAACACCCATCAGACCTGCAATATTATTTGAAGCCTATTCAAGTCTGTGAATGTTTTTAACCAGCCTACAAACTCCCACCAGCCTTTCTGTATCACAGATGTGCCTGATGCTGAAGACCATCTGTTACTGAAGAAAAATTCAGCCCAGTTAGTTAAGCTGACACTTGCCTACCTCTGAGTTCTCAGAGATGCAAGTCCTTTAAGGATGTGCTTCTCTACATAAACTCACCATAGACCAAATCAAGCTTTGTCCACAGCTTGGGTAAATACATGGGCAATTTCTCCATCACCTTCCAAGGGGACGAAAAATCAATTCAATCCCCCCATTGAATTAATGATCTGTGCCTTTGATAGCCAATGTGGCATATTTGGAAAGAGTACGCATGTATGCGTGTGTGTTTGTGGGTGTGTGTGATGGGGCAGAAGGAATGAATAGGAAGGAGGAGTGAGGTTTCCCATCAGCATTCCCATCTCCCACCCCAACTGAGAACCCCTGACTTTGATTTTAGTGTTAACAAGGCTGTTTTCAGAGACTGGCTTTGTAACTCACTGGCAAGTCATTTATCTTTCCAAGGGTCAATTTCCTCCTCTGTAAAATGGACATTGAAAATAGACATCTTGACACCTCTTGAGATAATTGGATGGATTCTTTGAAAAATGGCTTACACATTTATAAGTCTGAATATGATGTTTAATATGTTTTTGTTACACATTTTTCAAAGTGATGTGTATTT